GTCTTTCACTTTTTTGCTACCCTCCCTGGATCGTGTGCCAGGAATTCTTGGCCTAGGGCTGTGCTATTCAATTTGGTAGCCATTTACTACATAGAGTTATGGAGCATTTAAAATATGGTAGTGTGACTAAGAAACTGAATTTTTTCATGTGATTGAACTTTTAATTTTAAATCAGGTGAAACATTTTTTCCATTAAACACAATTTAATTGTTTTGGTGGAACAACATTTCACTTTAAGCACTGACAGTTTAGCTCCCATGCTGAATTCTTTCTGAACTAAGTATAAAATACCAGATTTTGAAAACATTAGTAAGAAAAAAAATTAGAATATCTCATTCATAATTTTTTTTATTATTTGTTGAAATGATAGTATGCTAGATATATTGGATTAAATAGAATACATTACTAAAATTAATTTCACCCAACGTGCCTGGGTAGCTCAGTTGGTTGAATGTCCCATGATTGATTTCAGATCAGGTCATGATCTCAGGGTTGTGAGATCGAGCTCCCTGTCAGGCTCTACACTTAGCGGGGAGTCGGCCTGAGATTCTCTCGTTCTCTCGCTCCTTCTCCCTCTGCCCCTCCCCGCCTTGTGTGCATGCATGCTGTGTGTCTCTCTCTCAAATAAATAAATACATCTTTAAAAAATTAATTTCTTTTTGTTCTTCTTTAATGCATGACTAGAAAATTTGAAACTACATGTGCGGCTTGTATTTTATGTTCTGTTGGTCTAGAGAACTGGGATTTGACACCCTCAACTGTGACAAAGCCCACCCCCAATCCCGGAGGGCTATACCCTAGGTACAGTTCCAGAAGCCTCATCCACCAGTGCAGGTGAAGGCAGCTGGGTTGCAAAAGTTGTAAAATGTCCCTGGACAGTGTGGCCACTAGAGTTAGCTGCCCCAGCAAATCTCAAATCTGCTTCATACTACAAGCTGGGTGCTCTTGGGTAAGCCCTTTACTTTCACTCATCTGTAGAATAGAGGTCATAGTGCCTATCTCATGGTTCCTTAAGTGCCTCAGGGTCTTTGCACTTACTTTTCCTGTGTCCCCTCAGATCTTTGCACGTCTCACCTGTCTCTTCCTTAAGATCTTAGTGTAAACATCACCTTCTGGATAAGCCCTCATGAAAATAGACACTCCTCGGTCATATCTGATAGAGGACAAATCTATCCTATTCAAATCGATCCTATCTCTTTATTCAAGAAAATACATGACATTAGTTTTATTTTTTTTAAGATTTTATTTATTTACTTGACAGAGATCACAGTTAGGCAGAGAGACAGACAGAGGGGGAAGCAGGTTCCCCGCTGAGCAGAGAGCCTGACCTGGGGCTGGATCCCAGGACCCTGGGATCATGACCTGAGCCAAAGGCAGAGGCTTTAACCCACTGAGTCACCAGGCGCCCCATGACATCAGTTTTAAATGATCTTGGTTATTGATTTTCTTTTTTTTTTTTTTTAAGATTTTATTTATTTATTTGACAGGTAGAGATCACAAGTAGGCAGAGAGGCAGGCAGAGAGAGAGAGAGGGAAGCAGGCTCCCTGCTTAGCAGAGAGCCCAATGCGGGACTCGATCCCAGGACCCTGAGATCATGACCTGAGCCGAAGGCAGCGGCTTAACCCACTGAGCCACCCAGGTCCCCTGATTTTATTTTCTTGATAATGGTCTGTCTTCCCACTGATTTATGAGACCTAAGAGGGCAGGGATGGGTCAATCTTGTCACTGCCGAGTCCCCAGCATTCAGAACATGGTCTGACACAGCATGAACCAAGTTAGAAATGTCTGAGCAAACCCAACACAGTGCTGGTTTCATAGAGAAGTTCAGAAAACAACCAACCCCACCTTTCTTTGTCCCTTATCGCTGTGGGATTTTCCACTTGAGTCTAGATGTCCTGGTGTAGAAAATGAGTTCATTAGTCCCTCCCTGGCAGGGGAGTCTCCAGGGCTAAATGAGATCCCAGAACACCTTGGTGAGCCCTGAAGGTCCTGAATACAGGTGAGCTGGTCCCTGGGGCCCCAGAACCTGAGAAACAAAGGTAACCACCTACGGCTCATCCAACCTCTGCCTGAAGGAGTTATTTCTGGCTCTGGTGCCTTCAGACAGGAAGACCTAAAAGGGATTTCCCAGGAAGGTGCCGGACCCCTAGGGCTGCATAGGGATGCTTCACCAAATAGCAAGTGGCCCCAGGGCCTCCTAGGCTTGGGGTAAAATCCCTGTTTTGGGTGCCTTCCCCTCTCCGAGCCTCCATTCTATTTACTGAGCACTTAGGATGTCCACATAGTTCTAAGCATTTTGTCCCAGCAAACCTCTTACGAAGTCCTATAAGCCCATTTTACACAGCAGGACCTTTAGCTCCAGGAGACTTTGAAGTAGCTTTCCTGAGGTTGCCCACTGCGTCTGTGCAAAGGTGGGAGGCTGCACTGCCTCTATCCAATGAACACTTTGAAGTCTGCCCGACCTCAGGCCTCCCCAGGCGACCATGCCAGCTCTTTGGCGCTGGAGTCAGCTCCTAAGTCTGCAGTCTTTGCAGAGCTCCTGGGCTGCTTTCCCAGTGTTCGGCCTCAGGCTACCCCTTAGTAGGACTGGTGAGCCGAGCTTCCTGATAGCCCAGGGTCCTCCTAAAGTTCATAAGGCAACGGTTTATAAACAGTAAAGCACCCGGAAACTGTCACGGTTTGCTCTTTTTCTCCCCTGCATCCTCGGAGGGAAGGCTATTCTTCCCATTTCACATACGGGGAAACTGAGGCTCAGAAAAGTAAACTGCTCTTTCCAGGGTGATCGGGAGAGGCAGTAGGGGGTGTCTGCGCGGAGCTGGTGAGGGAGGAGGTTGAGCCCAGGCACCGCTGGAAGACCCCAGAGGCGAGAGGGGCGGGGCGGGGCGCGCTGGGGCGGTGACCCCAGGGGCGGAGCCCGGGGGATGGTGCAATCCTTGGCCGGAGCGCATCAGGCAGCCGCAGATTAGCACAGGTTTGCATCACCCGGGCCGGGACCCGGGCCGGGACCCGAGCCGGCGCTGGCGCCCGGAGACACTCGCCGCGGAAGCGCCGGCGGCTCCACACGTGTCCGGCTGCCGAGGGCCGGGGTCCCGAGCTCGGTCGCTTCGCAGCGGGCTCTCGACCACGTGGGAGTGTCCCGGCGACTCTGGACCCTGCCGCACGCCCCGGGCAAGGTATCCAGCGGAGCCCGAGAGGGGCCGGGGCAGGGAGCTGGTGGGTGGGAGGGTGAGCCCTGGCGAAGGTGGCGGCGGTATCCGAGGGGCGGAAGGAGGCGGGGACAGAGGTGTGGGAGTGTCGCCCCGAGCAGTGAGTGTGGGGCGGGGGACGCGTGTGTGCGGGGGGCCGGGGGGGGGGGGGTGCTGGGGACTCTGTAGGGTCTGTGTCGCTGTAGGCTGAGCCTGCGGGGCTGGGTTGGGGGGGATGTGTGTCGGCAGGCGGTGCGAGCTGTGGGGAGCGCTGCGTACTTGGTGGCAGGTGCCGGCCGAGCGGGGGACACGGCTGGGCCGGGCTGGGGTGCCCCGGGGGCGGTTCGGGGCGAGTGGAAACGAGGATGCCCCGCGCGAGGTGTTGGCCCCCGGAGCGCACGGAGCGCCGGCCGCAGGTGTGCACCTGGCGCTGTGGCTTCGGGTCTCAGGTTGTACTGTGCGCGCGTGTGTTTTCTCCCTGCGGACCCTGGGGTGTGCGGGGCGGGGGCCCACACCCGCCCCTTCTCGCAGCCCTGCGACCCAGCCTCCTTCCCTTGCTTCTCCCCCTCCCGCCGCTCCGTTTCCGCTGAATCCTCTGCCTCCAGGCACGCGCCGCCCGCCTCCCGCCGCTTCCGCTCCCAAGGGAGGAGCCTGGCTGGGGGAGGCGGGGCGAAGCCGCCGAGGGGTATGGGGCACGTGTCACACCGTGCCGGTGACCTTACTGTTATCAGTCATGCAGTGGGGTGCTTAATCGTTGGGAGAGCAATGTGTGTGGATGCCTGGCACACTTGCCCACGGAGGATGAGGTGTGTGTCACTTGATGAAGGCCGTGCCCATCTCTGCCCTTGAGGTTGGTGTCTCAGCTAGCTGGCTGGGACAAACTGGGGTTTTGAGGGGTGTGTGCGCACCTGTCTGCTCTGGGTTCTGTGAGTGTGTGTTTGGTATGACCTGCCTGTTCCCCCAGAGGTGTCGGGAAAGGGCGAGAAGTAGATAGGAGGGGCTACCTCCAACCTACAGCGGAGATTCTAGTCCCCGCAGTGTGGCCTGCGAAGTCCCTTGCTCAGTTAGTCCACCTGCCGCTGGAGCTTATTCCAGGCCCTACCAGCCTCTGAGACCTGGATACAAAAGTAGCCTGGAGTGCTGCCATGGCCGGGGGAGAGCCACCCCAGGGACAGTCCCCAGAAGAGCACTGCAGCACCTTTGGCTGTGAATAGTGGTAGCAATGGACCAACAGTGGTGACCATTTTCGGACCCCACCCCCCCACAACAGGGTCACTCTGAATTATTTGTGTTTTCGTTTCATTGTTGTAAAAATCCTATGGGCTTGGCATGCTGCTCCCATTTGACGGATTAGGGGCTGAGACTGGGGGAGACTGCAGGACTTGCCCAGGGCTACCCAGCCAGGAAAGGTGTGAGCCAGGACTAGAACCCAGGCATATCTGTCTACAGCCACCTGCTGTTGCATCCTTACTGCACTGGGATTATGGCCTTTCATTCAGTGTGGGGGTCTCCCTCCTGAGGCAGCCCATGTGCGGTAGTCCATGATGTTTAACCAGCCCCCTGCTGCTGGCTATTTGGGGGGTGTTTCCTGCCTTTTGCTATTAGATACAAGGCTCTCCTGAACAGCCCTTCATGTGTTTAAGATTTTGGTGAGCATTTTAATGGGAGGAGAAATTCCCAGAAGTGGGACATCCAGTTAAGGGTACGTACATTTGTCAGTTCAGTGCAGACTGCCAAGTCCCCCTCTGTGACAGCGAGGGAAGAGGGGGGCCACTGAACAGCCTCCCTTCAGTGCTTTTTCCCCTTCTTTGTAGATGCTAGCCACCCCTCTGGCAGCTCCTGCGGGCGCCCCCTCCAGGAGAAAGCGGTTGGAGTTGGACAATGACCCAGGCACAGAGAGTCCCACCCGCAAACAAGCTCGAAGGGGGCCCCAGCCCTGGCTGCCTCCCTGCCTGCTGCCTCTGAGCCCACCCCCTGCTCCAGCCCAAGGTCTCGCTGTGACCACTGCCTCCCGGCTTGGGCCCTATGTCCTCCTGGAGCCCGAGGAAGGCGGCCGGGCCTACCGGGCCCTGCACTGCCCCACTGGCACTGAGTACACCTGCAAGGTAGGTCTTCTGGGGTCACTCCCCACCCCACCCCCGGCATCACAGGGGCCTAGAAAGGGCCTTTGCTCCAGAGGATTATCAGGGAGGAGGCGTCCTTTGGGTTACATTGTTCCTGTGTTTATTGGGGAAGCAGCCAGTGAGCCCCAGCCCTGTGTCAGGCCTGGCCTGGGCTGAGACCAGAGGGCTAAACCTGACATGCCCAGCCCTGGGGAATGCACAGTATAGGCCCATAGTATGATACATGCCAGAGGGGTGGAGTTTAGGGGTTGTGGGAGCACAGAGCGGGAGCCTCCAGTGTGTTCGAGGGGGATGTCAGAAAAGGCTGAGCAGGGGCGCCTGGGTGGCTCAGTGGGTTGAGCCGCTGCCTTCGGCTCAGGTCATGATCTCAGGGTCCTGGGATCCAGCCCCGCATTGGGCTTTCTGCTCAGCGGGGAGCCTGCTTCCCTTCCTCTCTCTCTGCCTGCCTCTCTGCCTACTTGTGATCTCTCTGTCAAATAAATAAATAAAATCTTTAAAAAAAAAAAAAAGAAGAAGTGAGAGAATGGAGATCCATGCAGGGGCCTAGAGGAGGAGGAGCAAGCGAGCCATCGGGGAGTTCAAAGGACTTCACCATGGCCAGAGTGGAGAGGGACAGGAGATGAGGGCTGCCGGCCACAGGTTGTGAAAGCATAAGAAAGGAGCTCACAGTGGGCTGGGGGGGAGGTTGGGGGGGGTGCTGAAGATATTTGCACATGGGAAGGATAAGGTAGGTAGACATCAGAACTCCTTCCCAAGAGGGAAGGACCTGGAGGTCATTGGGCCTAGCCTGTGACCATTTCATAGATGGGAAGACTGGGGTCAAGAAGGAAGGGCCAAGCAGGAAAACTCATTGTATTGGGCCTGGCTCCTAGGGTGAAGGCCAGGGTTCTTGGCAGAAATCAGGGAATGGGCAGGGTCAGGCCCACGGGACATTGGCAGGTCGTAGCCTAAAAAGACAGTAGTGAAGAACTACAATGATAGGTATTCACTGTGCACTGGGTACTACGTTGATGGCTTAGTGTGTGTAATCTCTTCCAATCTTCACACAGTCCATGAGGTAGTTACTATTGTTGGCCCATTTTGCAGATAGAGGATACTGAGGCTCATAAAACTGTGGTCACAGAGTCAGGGGGTGTCAGAGGTGAGACTGAGCCCAGGGCTGTGGCCCCATGCTAGGACATGGGTTTCAGACACAGCAGGGTGGCTTTGCTCCTGGTGGGCAGGGTAAGGAAGATACAGGAGACCCAGCTACACAGGAGACGGGAAGAAGAGGGCCCAGGTCCCTTTAGGAATGCACAGAGAAGCAGGTGGACCGAAGCCTCCTCCCGGGAGCAGTGGCAACTGGCTTCTGCTGGGTAGGAGGGGTGCAGTGGGCAGGGGGGTTGAGGCAGACCTATGGTCCAGCCATCGGCTTTACCTGGGCTCTGGGCTGCCCCCTGCAGGTACCCAGTGCTCTGCCCCAGGTACTTTAAGGAACCCCTGAACTCTGGCTCCTTTTCCTGCAATGTTACAGTTTTCTTCTGTTCCTACTGGGTAGGGGAATCCATGACCAAAACAGGCTCAAGCCGGAAGCACCATGCTTTCTCATGGCCCCAGTTACTCAGAAACATTTAGGGGGGTGTCTCCTGGCACGTGCTTATCCCCATGCTAGCGGGAGCCTTGGGGCTGCCATTTTCACATTGCCTTCTCTGCTCAGTGCGTAGAAGGATCACCATCCTGTCTGTAGATTATCACCTATTCATTCATTCATTCAGCAAACGTTCACTGAGCACCCTACGTGCCGTACACCAGGCTGTGGTTCCAAGATAGAGTTCTGTTGTCATCAGGCTGATGCTCTAGTGGAGGACATGGGCAGGAAACAAGGGAATAAGTAAAATACAGCACAAGGGAAGGCTGATCCTGAGCCAGGTGATCCTAAAAAAGGGAAAACCAGGAGCTGGGAGAGAGGGGGACAGGGACCATGGGGGAGCAGGTGAGCAGCAGAGCCCAGGAAGGACTCTCCAAGGAGGTGACATATGAGCAGTGACTTGTGTGAGCTGGGGGAGTCAGCCCTGTGGGTATCTAGGCAAGAGCATCCAGGAAGCAGGAAAGGCAAGTGCAGATGTACAGAGGCAGGAACGTGCTTGTCCTAACTTAAAAAAAAAAGTAGTCTTTGTTTTTTGGATTCTTTCTTCCATGCCACCTAACTGTGTGTTAAAACATGCTTACATGTTTTTCCATGAATTAAACATGTATGTGCTTTATTGGTTTATTTTCTGTGTGGCAGAGCCAACATAACATGGGAAGGGTTAAAGGCAGACAGACTGAGTGAGTATTTCAGCTCTGCCTCTGTTCAGCTGTATTGGCTCCAAGTGCCCTTGCTTCTCTGAACAGCAGTCTGAACCAGCAGAAAAACAGAACACAGTTTTCAGGGCTGCCGCGAGGCTCCCGTCTGATGTCCATACAGCCCCTAGCACATTTTCCGACAACCTCGCCACTGGCACCACTGCCCCTCTTCCCCCCCTGCTCCAGCTGAACTGATCTGGGGCTGGTTTTTTCTCGAGCAATTCAAGCTCTTTCTTGCCTCAGCGCCTTTGCACTGCCTCTGTCCCCCACCTGGAAAGCTTACCCCATGGACGTCTCTGAATCATTCAGGTCACTTTCCCAGTATGGAGTTTAGACCTTTTTCAACTAGGTGCCCCCTTCCTTTTTTTTTTTTTTTTTTTCCCCCAAGATTTTATTTATTTATTTGACAGAGAGAGAAAGAGAGGGAGAGAGGGAACACAAGCAGGGGGAGTGGGAGAGGGAGAAGCAGGCTTCCTGCTGAACAGGGAACCCTACATGCGGCTCCAACCCAGGATGCTGGGATTGTGACCTGGGCCAAAGGCAGACGTCCAACGACTGATCCGCCGGGGTAGGGGGCGTGGTGGGGGGGGAGGCTGCTTGCTGCTGGAGCACCCAGCCCAGCGCCTAGCACACAGTACTGCCTAAACGCTTGACTCTGGCTGTTTCCCAGGCCGGCCAGCACCCCCCACCGCCACCCCCGTTGGCACCTGTGCTCATGCCAAGCCCCCCCAACAGGTGTACCCGGTCCGCGAGGCCACGGCGGTGCTGGAGCCCTACTGGCGGCTGCCCCCGCGAGGACACGTGGCCCGGCCCACCGACGTCCTGGCAGGCCCCCGCCACTTGTACACCTTCTTCCGGCGGTCCCACGGGGACATGCACAGCCTGGTGTGCCGCCGCCACCGCCTCCTGGAGCCCGAAGCGGCCACGCTCTTCCGCCAGATGGCCGCCGCCCTGGCTCACTGTCACCAGCACAGGCTGGTCCTGCGCGATCTCAAGCTGCGGCGCTTTGTCTTCACCGACCACGAGAGGTGAGTGTGATCCCGGAGACCCTCCTCACGGATGTACCTAAGAGATGGGCCATGATGGGGAAAGTGAGGCCCACGAAGTCAAAGGAACTTACACAAAGAAATGGAGAAGCCCCGACTGGCTCCTGGGCCTGGTTCCCGGGAAAAGCTTGGCTCAGGGCGAATGAAAGCCCCCTGGGCTGCGGCACTGCGTCTGTGACAGTCATAATAAACAACAGTGATGAAGAGCTTGGCTGTGCTGTCTGACTCCATGGGGGGCTTACAAAGAGGAGGTGGGCACTGTGCTTGTTCCCATAGGCAGGGGGGAGGAAACAGGCCCAGAAAAGTCAAGTTACCCGCAAGATTCTATAGTGAAATCGATAGTACAGCTGGGACTCGAATCCAGATGTGACCTTGAGCTTGAGAGGCAGGAGGCCTGACTGCCCATAGCTGCTGACTCTGTGTGATTCAGGGTCTCTGGACCTCAGTTTTCCCACTGGTGGGGGAAAGGCCTGGACTGTGATGATGTTTCCAGGAAACCAGGGCCACAGACAACAAGCCATAAGGAGCCCTGAGGTTCCTCACATGAGAACTTGCCTGTGAAACGGAATCCGTGATCTGGGAGGGAGGGAACAGAGGGGGACCTGGCATGCTTTCTCCTCCTCCATACTCCTGGGGGGTGAGCATAGTGTGTCGGGGAGCACGGCAAGCCAGTCAGGTCCACATGAACAGCCATCAGGGGCATGGATTACGTGGCATGATGCGTGTGTGTGTGTGTGTGTGTGTGTGTTGGGAGAAGGAGGGCGATCTCATTGCACATATTGTTTTGTTTTTTTGTTGTTTTTTTTTTTTAAAGATTTTATTTATTTATTTGAAACAGAGAGAGAGAGATCACAAGTATGCAGAGAGGCAGGCATAGAGAGAGAGAGGAGAAAGCAGGCTCCCCGCTGAGCAGAGAGCCCGATGCGGGCCTCGATCCCAGGACCCTGAGATCATGACCTGAGCCCAAGGCAGAGGCTTAACCCACTGAGCCACCCAGGCGCCCTGTTTTGTTTTGTTTTTAAAGCTTTTTTTATTTGTTTATTTGACAGAGATCACAAGTAGGCAGAGAGGCAGGCAGAGAGAGAGGGAGAGGGAAGCAGGCTCCCCGCTGAGCTGAGAGCCCGATGTGGGGCTCAATCCCAGGACCCTGAGATCATGACCTGAGCCGAAGGCAGCGGCTTAACCCACTGAGCCACCCAGGCGCCCTGCACATATTGTTTTATTATTTTTTAAAATAATCTCTACACCCAACATGGGGAATCAAACTCATGACCCCAAGATCAAGAGTCTCATGCTTTTCCAACTGAGCCAGACAGGTGCCCACCTCCCACTGCGCATCTTAAACTTTTTGAAATACTTTTAGATTTTCAGAAAAGTTCCAAAAATTGGCGCCTGGGTAGCTCAGTGGGTGAAGCCTCTGCCTTCAGCTCAGGTCGCGATCTCAGGGTCCTGGGATTGAGCCCCACATCAGGTTTCTCTGTTCAGCAGAGAGCCTGCTTCCCCTTTTTTCTCTGCCTACCTCTCTGCCTACTTGTGATCTCTCTCTCTCTCTCTGTCAAATAAATAAATAAATAATCCTTAAAAAAAAAAGAGAACTTCCAAGAATAGGGCAGGTTACCATATCTCTTTCACTTACTTCCCTTACTGTTAACTTCTCACATAGGCACAGAACAAGTATCAAAACTAAAAAACCAGGGCTCCTAGGTGGCTCAGTCCGTTAAGCGTCCGACTCTTGGTTTCTCAGGTCATGATCTCAGGGTCGTGAGATGGAGCCCTGCGTGGGGCAGGGTGTGAAGCCTGCTTAAGATTTTTTCTCCTCTCGCTTTCTCTCTCTCTCTTTCTCTCCCTCCCTCCCTCCCTCCCTCTTTTTTTCTCTCAAAACAAAACAAAACACCAAAAAACTAAGAAATTAATCTTGGTCCAGTACTATTCACTAAATCATGGATTGATTCCGATTTCACTAGCTTCCCACTAATACCAGTTTTCTCGCCAGGATCCAATCTAGGACCCCGGCCTATGTTCAGTTGTCCCGTCTCCTTAGTCTCCTCCAGTCTGAAACCTTCCCTTAGTCTTTCCTTGTCCTCCTTGACCTTGACACTTTGGAAGAGCACCAGTCAGTTATTTTAGACATTGCCCCTCAACTTGGATGTGATGGATGTTTTTCTCATGGTGAGATTGATGTGCATTTTGGGCAATAGTATTATCAGGAAGGCTGTCTGGGTGACTCAGTCAGTTGGGTGTCTGACTCTTGGTTTTGGCTCGGGTCCTGATCTTGGGGTCTTGAGATGGAGCCGTGCGTGGAGCCCCATGTAGGGCTCTGCATGCAGTGCTGAGTCTACTTGAGATTCTCTCTCCCTCTCTCCCAACTCACACACACATGTGCACCCTCTGTCTCTCAAAAAAAAAAAAAAAAAAAAAGAGTACCACAAGAATGATAGGCTCTTCTCAGCACACCGTGTCAGGAGACACGTGATGTTAACCCCAGTTATTTGGTTAAGATGGTGTCTGCCAAGTTTCTCCACGATTCCTAATTTACCCTTTCTAGTTAATAAATACCTTGTGTGTGTTGGTGGGGGGGGCAGCACCTGGGTGGCTCAGTCGGTTAAGCCTCCAACTCTCGATTTCTGCTCAGGTCATGATCTAGGGTGATGAGATTGAACCCCGTGTCAGGCTCCGCATTCAGCGGGGTGTCTGCTTCTCTCCCCCTCCTGTGCCCCTCTCCCTGCTAGTGCTCCTTCTAAAATAAAAATAAAATAAAGTCTTTAAACACACATACATATATATGTACTTCGAGGCTATGCGTGAAAATACGGTTTCTCCTCAAACTTGCCCGAGCATTTTCGCTGGGCCTTTGCCTTGCCCCTAGCAGTTACTATTGTGATGCTGACCTCAGAGTGATTTTTCTAGTTCCTTCTCTCCTTCTACATTTTATTTGAAAATGAACATGCCTTTAGTAAGAAGTAGAATATAAATTTTATAATGATGTTTAAGCTAATATGCAGCTTCAAATAATTTTTTTAAAAAGATTTTATTTATTTATTCGACAGACAGAGATTACAAGTAGACAGAGAGGCAGGCAGAGAGAGAGGAAGGGAAGCAGGCTCCCCACTGAGCAGAGAGCCCGATGCGGGGCTTGATCCCAGGACCCTGGGATCATGACCCGAGCCGAAGGCAGAGGCTTTAACCGACTGAGCCACCCAGGTGCCCCTTCAAATAATTTTTTTACCTAGGCTGAGTAGCATCACCCACAGACCTCCCAAGGTGAGAAAGTGCTTCCTTGTCTTTTTAAAGCAGTTTGAGAAGCACTCGTTGTAGAATGTTTGTAGAAGAGGGCTGGTGGAGACAGACCTGGCTTCGAATCTTGGTTCTTCTTACTACCTTCTCTTTGGCCTTGATCAATGTCTTTACCTGCCTGAACCTTGATTTTTTTCAAATGCCAGCAGGCAACCAGGAAGTGGTGTCATAGGATAATCTTAATAGCAGCGGTAAAAAAAAAAAAAAAAAAAAAAAAGACATTGGTAGCAGAATGGTTATACTTGAGTAACATAGAATGTTCTGTGGGAATTGTTTAAGGTGGAAGTTGCAAATGGCTGGCTACACACACTTTTTTTTTCTTTGCACCACGTACATGTTCATTTTTTTTTTTAAAAGATTTTATTTATTTATTTGAGAGAGAGACAGTGAGAGAGAGCATGAGCAAGGAGAAGGTCAGAGGGAGAAGCAGACTCCCCTTGGAGCTGGGAGCCCGATGCAGGACTCGATCCCGGAACTCCAGGATCATGACCGGAGCCGAAGGCAGTCGTCCAACCAACTGAGCCACCCAGGCGTCCCTGTTCATTTGTTTTTAATTGAGATTGGCTGCCGACATTTCAAAAATTGGGATTTTTCATTGACATGATTTCTGGCTCCTCTTGGGGAAAAATGGGAACACGGGGCCCCCTTGGGAATCGTGAGTGGTTCATAGCAGTGGCTCTGGGTGGGTGAGAGCTGGGGTTCACATTTCCAGCCCTGTGCCCCGTGGCTCTAAATGGTGTCTTCCTCACAGGTTGTGTGAGGATGAAATGAGATGGACCAGGTAATGAGCTTAGCTCTGGGTCAGGTTCCCCATGAACACTCCAGAACATTGACGGTAATGTTGTTAGTGGTGCCTTTTTTAGACAGGGTTTGTGCTGAGGTGTTTGGCGTGGTCCCCACTTCTGATTTCTCTCACTTTATTACCTGCCTGGACCCTAAGTTTGCCTCTGGTTTAAGAGAGGCTCAGTGGCCTCGGCCCCCTCAGCCCCCTCCCCGAGGGGCTGTTGGGAAATGTGCTCTTCTCAAAATCCTAGTTCACACTCAATTGCTCTGTGGCCTTGAGAAATGACTCAACATCTCTGAACCTGGGCCTCCTCGTGTGTAAAATGCCATCAACCAACCAGTCTCACAGGACAGGCTCAAGTCTGCCAAATGCGGCAGGCTCTCAGGAAGTGGGTGCCATTAAGGGTGAGAGTGTGCAGGGGTGGCATGGGGTTCCCCATGGGAGCTAACCCCTCTGTCTCTCTCCCCCTGCCACAGGACAAAGCTGGTGCTGGAGAACCTGGAGGACGCCTGTGTGCTGACCGGACCCGACGACTCCCTATGGGACAAGCACGCGTGTCCGGCCTACGTGGGACCGGAGATCCTCAGCTCCAAGTCCTGCTACTCGGGCAAGGCCGCCGACGTGTGGAGCCTGGGCGTGGCGCTCTTCACCATGCTGGCTGGCCACTACCCCTTCCAGGACTCAGAGCCTGTCCTGCTCTTTGGCAAGATCCGCCGCGGTGCCTTTGCCCTGCCGCAGGGCCTCTCGGCTGCTGCCCGCTGCCTGGTCCGCTGCCTCCTTCGACGGGAGCCAGCGGAGCGGCTCACAGCCACGGGCATCCTGCTGCACCCCTGGCTGCGGGAGAACCCGATCCCCTTAGCTCCATCCCGATCCCGCTTCTGGGAGGCTGACCAGGTGGTCCCCGAAGGGCCAGGGTTGGAGGAGGCTGAGGAAGAGGAGGGAGGAGGAGAAGTGGGTCTGTATGGCTAGGTAGCCTTAGACTCTCAGCCGCAAACAATGGACCGAGTTTGGAGTGTCTCCAAGCTCTCTCCTGCTTTTTTTGCACTGAGCCAAACCTTAGTGCCTTCTAGAAGAGAGAAGGGAAGAGGCGTGTGTGGACTGTGCTGTACGCACACCTGTGTGCTTCCTCATACCTGTGCACAAAGGCCCGTGCATTTAACACATCATTCTTGGGAGTTCACTATGTGCCAAACCCTGTTCTGGGTGCTGGGAACACAGCAGTGAACGAAAGGCAAACTCTTGCTCCCAGAGCTCCCCACACTTCTCCACGCCCACAGGTCAGTGTCCACACGGGGCCCTCTCCGTACAGGTGTCAGCACCCACTTGAGCTGGTGCCTAGGCCCTTCTGACCTGGGACAGTCCCTCTCACAAATTGCTGTGCCAAAGGCTCCTGGCCTCTCCCTCACAACTCAGGACTCCAGACCCCAAGCCATGGTGGGATCTGTGCTCCCAGCAGCTCTGCCTTCTCCATGCAGGCCCGAGCCCAGGATTCGGGCTGGAGGCTCACTAGTTCAAACTGTGAGGCTGGTCCTCATCTAACTCAAGGAGTGCTTTGGAATGAGGGTCCATGTCTGTCCACCTCTGGCCGAGCACCAGAGTTTGGGGTCAGAGGAGGCAGGGTCTTCCTCCTGGCAAGTCTCAAGCCCTATTCTGGGTTTTGGATCAACACTATGGGTTTTGGATGCCATAAGAATATATTTTTACCTTTTGCCTAATAAAGGAGTTATGAGATATTTTAATGTCTGCTGGACATTTGTTTGAGCCTCTCCTCCCCATCTCTTACCAGTTTTCCTTACCCCGCGGTGAGGCCAGAGGCTTGTGGTGTGTGAGAACAGATTTCCTGCAGCCCAGCGGGTTTTGTGCATGCCCTCTGTTCCTTCTGCAGGCACTGGTGTCTCTGTTAGGGTACTTTTTGGCTGCAAGTAACTGAAACCCTGGGCCAGAGTGGAAAGAAGGAAATTTCACACAAAGCAAGAAGTCAAGAGGGGCTGGCTGATTCAGCTCTCAGAGCTGTCAGCAAGGACTGGCTCCCCAGGCTCATTCTTTCTCTGCTGTTGTCCCTGGTGACTATGGACACAATGGCTACAGCTGTCCCGTGACCAGAGAAAGCGGCGGGGGGAGGGGTGGGGAAGGGGTGGACATTGTAGCCCTGGAGGACTCAGTCCTCTGGAGTCAGGCTGCCTGGAATTAAGTCCACTCACTAGCTGACCCTCAAGTGTCTTAACTGCTCTGTTGTATACCTCAGCTTACCCTTCTGTATAATGAGGGCAACAGTGCCCACCAACTCACGAGAGCTGAATGAGTTATTTCCTGGAAAGCACTTAAACCCTCAATAAAGGTTAACTGTTACTATCACCCCCAGAACTCTTTCTTGGGATGGGGAAAAGTTTCCCAGAAGCCCTCCTAGCAGACATTTGCACAGATTTCCTTGGCCAGGGCTGAGTCACATGTCCTTTCTTGACCAATCAACAGCAGGGAAATGAGGGTACCCGAATTAACCATGAGTGGGTACAGCCTCCCTGAGGCTCCTGCTTCATGTGGGAGGGGGAGTGTCACCTTAGCAAAGTCAAATTCTGGGAGGAGGTAATGGCAGAAAGCACGAGGAGAACCGAGGTGTGCCGGATAAGGTTATGGCTGGCTGCAGACAGATGAGGGAGACTGTCCAAGATCATCCAGCCACCAGCCTGCAAATGGACGGATCAGTCAGGCTGGCCGAGACCAGAAACTTGCCACAGGTTTGTGAACTAAATAAAGAGATCTTTTTTTTTTTTTTTTAAGATTTTATTTATTTATTTGACAGACAGATCACAAGTAGGCAGAGAGGCAGGCAGAGAGAGAGAGGAGGAAGCAGGCTCCCTGCTGAGCAGAGAGCCCGATGCGGGGCTCGATCCCAGGACCCTGGGATCATGACCTGAGCTGAAGGCAGAGGCTTTAACCCACTGAGCCACCCAGGCACCCCAAGAGATCTTTGTTTTAAGCCACTGAGTTTTAGGGTGTTTTGTTACACAGCAAAAGCTAACTGATAGACGGACAAGTCAGCTTCCTCTCTCTGCAGCCAGGATTGCCGTGGACAGGGTCCCAAGCTTGCTTCTTTCCTGGCTTCCAAAGGACAGTTGGAACCACACAAATGAACAGTCCCAGTTCCCTCACTGAGTGTCCTCTCTGGTACCAGTGTAGTGAGGGGAAGGGACACAAACTCATATAAAATGGGGGTGCCCAGTGGCAGGTACTCTGCTAACTTTTTATCTACATTACATGGCGGGACTTGTTTGATTCTCACGCAACTCTTTAAGAGGAATGTGCTTGAGGTAAGAAAAATGTGGTTTAGATTAGAGAGCAGAAGACTCAGCCAAGACCACACAACAAAGAAAAAGACTCACCCAGTTTTGCCTTGAAGCAGGAACTTTTTTTTTTTTTAAAGATTTTATTTATTTATTTGAGAGAGAGTGAGAGAGCACAAGCAGAGGGGTAGAGGGAGAGGGAGAAATAGACTCCCCGCTGAGCAGGGAGCCTGATGCAGGGCTCAATCCCAGGACCCTGAGATGGTGACCTGAGCCGAAGGCAGACGATTAACCGACTGAGTCACCCAGGGACCCCGTGAAGCAGGAACATTTGACAATGTGGCTCAGAGGCAGCCGCGTGAGAACTGGCACAGAAAAATGCAAAATCCACTCCCACCAAGTAATGCATGTGGCCACACCCTGGATGCAATCAGTGAGGACTTTCATGTTCTGTTTATATTCATATAATGATCATTGTAAATGTTTTACAATATCAACTGGGGTACATGTATATTATTGCAAATGAGGGACTATAGGAAAAAAAATTTTTTTAATTGTATTTATTTATTTGACACAGAGAGCGAGATCACAAGTAGGCAGAGAGGCAGGCGGGGGCTGAGTGGGGCAGGAGGGAGGGGGAGCAAGCTCTTGGCTGAGCAGTGAGCCCGGTGCAGAGCTCTATTCCAGGACCCTGAGACCATGACCTGAGCCAGGCAGAGGCTTAACCCACTGAGCCACCCAGACGTCCGGGACCATTACAAATTTAATTGAGGTTTTTCTCTGTAACTGGGAGCTAAATACAAAAGATAATATTGTGGCCTGCCCCATTATTATTCGCTTTTGCAATTCAACCACTACTATGAACGGAGGCTATTGGCCAAGCATGGAGCCAGATGGACGCAAACGTGGTCCCTCCGCTCAAGGACTCAGCCTGATAGAGAAGCCAGATGTTAAACAGGTAAGCACCCATTAAGAAGCTAATAACCAGGGGTACCTGGGTGGCTCAGTTGGTTAAGCGGCTACACTCTGCTCAGGTCACGATCTCAGTCGTGGGATCCTGTCCCAAGTGGTCCGGTCCGGCTCACTGCTCAACAGGGTGTCTGCTTCTCCCTCTCTCTCTCCGCCCCCCTTACCCCATGCTCCGTCTCTCAATGAAATAAATAAAATCTCGAAAAAAGAGAGAGAGAGAGAGAGAGAAAAACTAATTACCTCTGTGGTAACTAAGTTCTTTGTTGCTAAGGTGGGAGTCATCAAATATTCCAGGTGCTCCCCTACTGGCCCCCCAGTCACGTGATCAGTTCCGACCAATGAATAGTGTGTGTGCGTAGCCCTTCAGGGCTGAGGCCATTGAGAGCTGGTGAACTTACACCCCTCTCGCAGGCACCTTGAGGCCACAGTTCCCCTGGCTACAAGACGGAGGAGGAGGACCGCCAGATCCACACTGGATTTTACTGAGCAAGACACGAAGCTTCCTGGGTGATGTCTTTGTGAGTCGAGGTGTGTCTGTTGGGCCGTTAGGTTTAATGACCACGATTAAGGAAAATTTGCCCCAGAGGAGGGGAGGAAATTTCTCTCCATCAGGAACTAGGCTGTAGCAGTCTTTGCTGCATTACTAACAAAAACTCAGTGGTCCCTGCTTCTGTGGGTCAGCAGTGTGAGCTGGGCTCGGGCTGGGCTGGCTCACTCAAGGGTGGCGGGCAGCCCCACTAGAAGGGCCCCCAGGCTCACTCCCAGCTGTGTGTGCTGCTCTGTCATCGTCAGTCAGCAGGCTCCAAGGAGGCAGGGCTGGGTGGCTCCCCTCTGTTCCACCAGGTCTCTCTCCATCAGGCTTAGCCGCAGCCCCCTCACCTGGTGGTCTTGGGTTTCAGAAAGCAGCAAGAGAGGACAGATGCGAATGTGGAGCTATGCTGGTGTCACACCTGCAAAAGTCCCATTGGCCAAAACATGTCACACAGCCAGATTTGGGAGGTGGGAAAAAAGATTCTCCCTCTGGGTGAGAGGAGCTGAAAATGATTTATGGCTTTTTTCTTTTTAAAGATTTTATTTATTTGATAGAGGTCACAAGGAGACAGAGAGGCAGGCAGAGAGAGAGGGGGAAGCAGGCACCCCGTCGAGCAGAGAGCCTGATGTGGGGCTCGATCCCAGGACCCTGGGATCATGACCCGAGCCGAAGGCAGAGGCTTTAACCCACTGAGCCACCCAGGTGCCCCTATACTTATTTATTTTAACGGCAGCACGAGATCTACTTGATCAAAGATGTTGACCACTGTGTACCCAAAACTGACCCTGTGGGCTGTGGTCCCTGAACAAATTGCTGGGTGTCTCTGCGTCTCCCCCTGTTCCCCTGCTCTCTGCTTGGCTAAGCCCCATCTGGCCTTTGAGGCTGGACCTGGAGACTCTGTGAGAGTGGGCCAGCCCTCCCCTGCGCCTGTGGTGGGTCGGCCCCCTGGGTGTTTGTTTACAAAGCTGATCCTGACCTCTCCTCACCTGTGAGTCAGACTTTGTGCAGTCGTGCATCTTAGCAAGCTCCCTGGGAGATGCTTCCGAGCATCTGATTTGGAGAAACTCTGTATTCTGGAAAAATCCTGACTCCTTGGGGGAACTCAGAGCTCACTTCAGCTCTTCGCTGAGCTTGCTTGACCCTAGCCCAGGTATAAAATGGGTAGAAGTTCCACCTGACCAGGATGCCACGATGGGCTCAGAGGTCTGAGAGGTCTCTATCAGGGGTCAGATCTGAGCCACCATGCCTGTTGTACCGACTTTACCTCTCCCCTCACCTGGCTCTGTGGTTCTTCTTACCGCTTAGCCCCACCTGGCAGGACATTCTATCTCTGTTGTTTGCGGGAGTTACGGAAGGCCAGGGACTATGTTTTGTTCATAACAGTCTCCCCCTAGAACAGTGCCTGGCACCCAGAGCTGCTCCATTAAATGTTTGTTGAATGACTAAATGAAAGCGGTTGCTATGCAGACCCTACATGGCTAGAACAAAGCAGGACACTTGTTAGGGCAGGTTAATGTTTACTGAGCATACATCACATGCCAGGCATGGTTCTCAGCACTTTGTCTGCGCTATCTCATTTGACATGTGTTAGCCAGCCTCTACCATGGCCCCCATGATCCTTGACACATGGGATTCATGCCCTTGTGTAGTTCCCTCCTACCCTGAGCTGGGTTACTGGGGGTAACAAATACAATGCTGTGAAAATGAAGAAGTATGACTTTTTTTTTGGTAGCAGTCCTTAAGTAGTGTATTATGTCTTCAAGACACAACAATGTCAACTCTTATCTTAGAGAAGAATCTTTCAGACCAAGGAACCATCACCCTGATGAGTGGCCCATTTGTCATTTTCTTTTCCTTCTTTTTTAAAGATTATATATATTTATTTATTTGACAGAGAGAGAGAGACAATGAGAGCAGGAACACAGGCAGGGGGAGTGAAGGGGGGGAGAAGCAGGTTTCTGGCTGAGCAGGGAGCCCGATGTGGGGCTCGATTCCAGGACCCCGGGATCATGACCTGAGCTGAAGGCAGACGTTTAACGCTGAGCCACCCAGGCACCCCACTTTTGTCATTTTCATAAGCAGCTGAATTCTTCCCCTTGGATTTCTCAAACTGTGGGTAGCTAAAACAAAACCCTACAAATGGTGGCCCAGTGCCAAGGGTGGATGTCCGAGTGTGGTGCCGCACACTGGAGCTGCCCTCACCGAAGTGTGTGGGAAGGTGCGATGCTCGAAGGACTACAAAACTATGTGTGGTCCCATGTTGCATCCATGTTAGATTCCCAAACTCGTGGGCTAGGGTTGCGGCGATGCCTCACTCCCACACAGGGATCCCCTCGCCCTCCCCAGTCGTGGGGAATCACTGTCTGACTGAAGGAGTAAGGCTCCACCATAAAATATATCATGGCTCCTGCCTCACTCTCCCAGATCATCTGCTCTTGGGAAAGCCGCTGCCATGTTTCAAGGACACTCAGATAGACCTATGGAGAGGCACGAGTGACAAGAAACTGAGACGTCCTGCAAACCAGCACCAGCCAGGTGTAGAAGCAGCTTTCCTGAAAGCAGCTCCTCCACCCCAGTCAAGACTTCAGATGACTGAAGCCTCCGCCATCTTTGCGACAACCTCTGAGAGACTTTGAGCCAAAACCAACTAAGAAGGTGCTCCTGGATTCCTAACCCCCAGAGACTATGTGAGGGCTACATGTTTACTGTTGTTCTAAGCCACTAAGTTTTGGGGTAGCTCATTAGATATCACTGAGCAATAACTGACCAGATCCTCAAGACAGCCCTATGCAGGAGGGGCCATCGTGATTACCATTGTACGGGGTGGGGGGAGGCCAAGGGCCAGAGAGGGGGCATCTTGTCCCGCACGCACAAATCGTGAGCAATGGGACTGAGCCCAGGTTTGAAGGACTGAAGAGCCTACCCTCTGGGATGAAGGATATCCGAAGTGAATGCCAGCTCTGCCCTTGAAGCCCCAGGCGAGGACCAGAACAGCCAAAAGAAAATACCTGCCCCCACTGTAGATTTGTGTAGGTGACCTCAGGGCTGAAGGGGCCATGACTATCACAAACCGGCATGACTATCACAAACCGGCAGGGTCACCAGAGGAAAACAAGGCACTGGAAGTGAAAACCAGCAGAAACAGACACTCAGAGTTCAGTTCAGCAATATTATCAGATATAGATTATAAAAGAAAAAAATGTGCACCACCCTGAAATTAATAACAAGCTTGAAACTATGGCCAAAGTGTAGGAACTTATATCAAGTGAAACAGATTTGAAAACCTAATAGAGGGGCACCTGGGTGGCTCAGTTGGTTAAATGTCTGCCTTTGGCTCAGGTCTTAATCCCAGGGTCCTCGGGTCGAGCCCCTCGTGGGCCTTCCTGCTCAGCTGGGAGCCTTCTCCCTCTCCTTCTCCCTCTCCCTCTGCCCCTCGCCCCTGCTCATTCTCTCTCTCTCTGTCTTTCAAATAAATAAATAAATAAATAAATAAATAAATAACATCTTTAAACAGAAAAAAAAAAAAAAAGAAAACCTAACAGAACTTCTAAAATAAAAATACAATAACCAAAATAAAAAATTCAAAAGCTGGGGGGGGGCGCCTGAGTGGCTCAGTTGGTTAAGTATCTGCCTTCGGTTCAGGTAACAATCTCAGAGTGGTGGGAGTGAGGCCCACATTGGGCTCTCTGTTCAGCGGGGAGTCTGCTTCTCCCTCTCCTTCTGTGTTCTCTCTTGCTCTCACTCTCTTTCAAATACGTAAGTGAAATTTTTAAAAATAAAAACCATTCAAAATCTGGGTTAAACCACAGAGCTCTACAGGCGGTTCAAATGTACAGCCCAGGTTGAGAACCTCTGTGTTAAGAGAGGCATTTCAGGGGAAAGATAAGTGACCCTAGATGAAAGTCAGAGATTCCTTCATTCGTTTAAGATATAATCCTTGAGCACCTATTACGTTAGGAACTGTCCCAGACACCAGGAGCAGTGAGCAAAATAGATAAGAGTGTTGGCCTCTAGAAGAGGGAAACAGACCAAACCAAACAAAACAAAATAAAAACTCCAACCAAGATATGTAAGTAAAATATGTCATTAGATAGTAATATATGCTTTAGAAAAAAGAAAAAATAAAGCCAGGAAGGAGGGTATGAAATGATGGATGTATATGGCTGTGTGAAGTTTCAGACAGAGTGGATGGGGAAGACTCTTGGGTAAAGACCAAACTAAAGGGAGAGAGCAAGCTATAAAGATATTTGGGTTATGGCATACGCAAAGGCCCTGAGGTGGAGTGTGTTTGCCTTGTGCAGGAGCTAAGAGGCCAATGGGCTTGAGTGGAGTGAACCAAGGAATCGAGGGAGACCTCATTAAAATGGAGGGGAGGCCAGAAAGGGGAGCTCTGACAGGTAGTCTTGGAGGTCCCTTACAGGAGGAATTGTCAATTACACATCCCAACAAAGAGTCCTCAACAGGAAAGAATAAACTACAGGCCCCAAGAGGGAAAGATGTGCATTGCATCTCCCACAAGAAATCCACTACCTCTGTAACTCCGCCAATGAGAAACTGCCATCACCCTGAGCTCTTGCTTTTCTCCAGCAGACTTGGTTCAAAGCACCAATTTCCTCCTCCTCAGTAAAATAATATCACTTTGCTTTGTTAGACTTGCCCGTTGTTTTTCATAGCTCGAATGTCCCAAATCGCAATTCTTGGCTCTTCCTGAATAAACCCATTTTGCTGGGAAAATAACGGGCTGTTTTATTTTTTAGGTTTAACAGTAGAACGAGAAGGGGAAGCAATCTGCAGTCCGTGGGGAGGACCTCGGCTTTTACTTTGCCATGAGAGTGTTGGGAACTACTGGGAGTGTTTTGAGGAGTGACGTGGTTTGATTTACATTCTAGGGACCCTCTGGCAGCAGGTGGAAAATGGACTGCTGCGGCCAAAAGGAGAAGCAAGGAGCCAAGTGAGGCTAGGGCTTCCGTTGGTCTTGGGCATACAGAGCTGAGGATGGGGGCGACTCTCAGGTGTGCGGGTGGGTCCTCTGAGGCTGAGCCCCACCCCAATAACCGCCCAAATCCCCGCCCCCGGCAGGCACGGCCCCGCCCCCGTCCGGGCCCTGCCCCTCCGTCCGGGCCCCGCCCCCCCTTCCCGCGGCACTGCGGGCGCGGCTGGGCGGGTGAGTAAGGGTCGGGGAGTCGGGGGTCAGCCCAACGGTGTCACTCCGGCCAAGGTCACCGAGGACCCGGACCGCCGTGATCCGGAGTAGGGCGGGGACCGCCGGGGACTGCGTAGGTGGCAGCCGCCGCTCGGTGGGCCGGGTGGTGTGTGTGGAGGGGGTGTCCGGATGTCCCGACAATCCGCTGCCCCACTTCCGGGGCCTCCACTTTCACTTTCCCTTCCGCTGTGCTGCTTTTCTCCCCTCCCCTCTGTGTGAGACCGCCCTGCAGGGGAGGCAGTGTTGCTGCAATCCCGGGCACCGGGCGACGCTCCCAGCAGCAGAAAGTGGGGGCTCTCCCCGGGGACTAAACAGCGCCCCGCATTGCGGCGTCACTCTCATCCCCGCGGGCTTGTCCCGTTTCCTCTGTCGCCCATTGTGGGCTTGGCTTGGTGCCGCCTGCCCTTTCACCTCCCACGCGGGGTCCTGCGGGTTCCCATACCCAGTCCCCGGTGCTTGTGATGTTACCTGATTGCCGCTGGGGACATCAAGGCACAAAGAGGGCTCGGGCCGCGTTGGAGGTCACCGGCCGGGGCTGAGTTGCTTCTGGTCGTCCGTCCTCTGCCAGGTGACCCAGGGATAGCATTTCTCCGGAGCTGCTGCCCCCGCCCGGGGGGATGGGCGCAACCACGCCAGATGGACGAGAAGACCAAGAAAGGTGGGCACCCCCTGGAGGCGGCTGGGAAACTTCCGTTAAGAGATGGGCCCCGGCAGAACCCGGCCTCCCCTGCCCAAAAGGGTCCGGAAGAAGCTGCTTTAACCGTGTCCTTCCTCTACCCACCGGTCCCTGAGTTTCCTTCCTTGAGGCCTGGTTGCTGCCAGAGGCTTGTCATTCAATTATGGGATGCCCCTGAGGCCACCATGAGCCAACCTGGCTGCAGGGGGGTAGGGAGCTCCCAGAGGGCACAGAAGACCTCACAGGCTGGTAGGGGAGACAGATCTCAGCTGACCTGAATACCAGGCGCTCTTGCCTCCCTTCTTGCCTGCTCCAACTAGCATCGTAGAACATGTCCCGTCACCACCCTGCTTAATCACCACTCCCCCATCCCTCCTCCCCGGCAACCGGTGTTCCCCTGTGTTCTTAAAACTGAGGCCAGAGCCCTTGGTTAGCCCACAAGGCCCTTTGGGCTTTATTATCCTCATAATCTTATCCCATTCACCCCCTTGCTTGTTCTGATGGAGCTCCACTGGCTTCTTTCTGTTCTCATCTAACCATTTCTTGCTCAAGGCCTTTGCCCTTATCTTTCTCTTCACCTGGTAGACTCTTCCCTAACTAGGTCTGGACATATGTAGCTTCTCCTTCTGGTCTCAGCTTCAGCATCACCTCCTCCTAGAGGCCTTCCCTGATCTTACCCTGTCTATTTCCTTGCCAGCCTAGATCACAATCTGAATTTTTTTCTGTTGTCTGTTTCCTTACTGGGTTGGGAGGTCCATGAGGAGAGGGACCCTGTTTATCTTACTCAGTGCTGAATCCCAGTTTCTGGGACAGTGGTTGGTACACAGTAGGAGCTCAGTAAATGCTTGTCAGATAAATGAATGGAAGTATGGGGACCTGGGAGTATGAAGGAAAAACAGAATCAAATGAATAGGGAGGTGGAATGGGAGTTTCAGAGACGGCCACTCAGAGAAAGGGATTTTTAAGCTGGGTACTGTTGGATATGTAGGAGTTCACCATGAAGACAGAGGAAGCAGCATGTACAAAGGATAACCACCCCCCTCACCCCCAGCTCCTAAAAGATAAACTCTGTGCTAACCTGCTTCCACTGTGCTGGGTTTCAGCGGAGGAGATGGCCCTGAGACTCAGCCGAGCCGTGGCAGGCGGGGATGAAAAGGTGGCAGTGCAGTGTGCCATCTGGCTGGCAGAGCAGCGGGTGCCCCTGAGTGTGCGACTAAAGCCTGAGGTCTCCCCAACACAGGATATCAGGTGAGGAGTGCACGGGTGGCCAAAGATGTAGGGTTTCCTGAACCCCAGCAGACCACAGTGTATTCAGTTATGCTTAGTGGCAGGTTCTGGTTCTGGTGTCAGGAGACCTAGGTTCAGACCCAAGCTCTATCACTAATCAACTGTGAGATCTATGGCAAGTCACCTCCCCTCTCAGAATTTCAGGGTTTTTTACATTTTTAAAATGAGGCAATAATAGTAAGCTATCTCATAGGGTCATTAGAAGGTGTAATAGAATGTTAGTCCTCATGTAACAGAAAGAAACCTAGTAACAGTGGCATGAACAAGTTTGAGGGCAGGCGGTCGAGATGTGGAGGCTGTGCTTCCCAGGGTCTTCAGAGACTCAAGCTTCTGTCCTTTTATTCTGCCATTCATGGACTCCATTGTGAGGTTTGCTTCATGGTCTAAAGTGGCTGTTCCAGCTCCAGCCATCACATCAGCATTCTTGTCAGCAGGAAGGAGAAAGGTGTAGTGTCTCTCCCGATCAGATGGGGGAGGCCCCCAAATGTGGGGCCGCCCACGCCCAATTGGGTGGCAGCCCCAGGGGCTGAAAGAAGTCACCCTAGGCCGAACAAAGGACATAGAAGTTTATTGCATACACTGCAAGGGAGCAGTGGCAGGAGAGCAGAGCAGAGACTGCGAAGAGGCAGACTGGGGGGCTGTAATTAAAGGGCAGAGTGAGGAAGTAGGGGACCGGAAAGGATGGAATTTTCCCTTCATTGGTAAGTGTGCCCGGTGTAAGGTAACCCATTGTCAGCTAATGCTATGCTTATGTTGTGGTGGGTCTCTTTGGAGGTGGGTTGCTTAATGAGCCTGTTTGCATTCAGCTGTGGGCCCTTTTGCCTTGATCAAGTTTCCATTGCTCCAGCTTGTTGCCCCAAAGCGGCCTCTACAGAAGGGCAAAAGGATACCCCCCTCCCATACTTGAGAGCACACAGCTCAGAAAGTTGCCCACTTCTTCCACTAAATTCCTGTGGACCAGAATTTATTCTCGCAGCCACGCTCAGCATGAAGGGAGGCTGTGAAATGTGACGAGGTATCCAATAGAATTCAGGGGTTCTGTTAGCAAGAGAAGCGAGGGAGGATGAATACTGTTAGTCTTTCCCCAGGAAACTTAAACTTGACGTTGTGATGCTTAGCACTGTGCCTTGCACATGTCAGTCACTCAATAAACAGTGGGGTTTGTCTTTTTTTTCCTGCTGCTTTTCTGCTGCTGTATATAGTAAGACAGTAGTTTCATAGTTTGTGATTTTCAATGTTCCTGGTGGATCCCATTTGATTTTTTTATGGTTTCATTGAGGTAGGGTTGACATACCATACAATTCAGCAATTTAAAGTGTATAGTTCAAGGCTTTTAGTATATTCAGAGTTGTACAGCCATCACCCTCAATCAGTTATAGAACTTTTTAAAGATGTTATTTATTTATTTGAGAGAGGGAGAGCAGAAGCAGGGGGAGTGGCAGAGGGAGAGGGAGAAACAGGCTCCCCACTGAGCAGAGAGCCCAATGGGGGGCTCCATCCCAGGACCATGGGAACATGACCTGAGCCAAAGGCAGACGCCTAACTGAGCCCGTGCTCACTTTTTGAACGTTTTTATCACCCGCCTGCAGAACCCCAGTCCATACTTACTAGTAGTCACTCCTCATCTCCCTGCCTTTCTCCAACCCCAGCCTTAGGCGGCCACTGATCTACTTGTTATCTCCAGGGTTGTGCCGAGTCTGGATATTTCATGTAAATGGAATTGTACAATATGTGGCCGTTTGTGTCTGGCTTCTTTCACTTAGCATAATGTTTTCTCAGTTCACCTATGTTGTAGCATGTATCAGAACTTTATTCCTTTTATTTTTATTTGTTATTTTTTTTAAGTAGGCTTCCCTAAGTGTGGAGCTCAGCTGGGGGCTTGAACTCACGACCCTGAGATCAAGAGTCAGATGTCTAACTGACTGAGCCACCCCGGTGCCCCAGAACTTCATTCCTTTTTGTTGCTGAATAATAATCCGCTGTACGAATATACCATATTTTCTCTATTTGTTAATCATTTGATGGACATTTGGTTTTTTTCTACTTTTTGGCTAATATGAATAATGTTGCTGTTGTGAACATTTGTGTCTAGCTTTTATATGGACATATTTTTTTCCAGTTTACTGAGATAGCATTGACATGTAACATTGTATTAGTTTAAGGTGATGTGATGTTATGATTTATAATAAGGAGTATATATTTGGTCTTTGTCCTTTCCTGGCACAAAACTCCTTGGAACTTTGTAAGTAATGAGAGTGGTAAAGGTGCCTTTTGTTATGTGAATGAGGTGACTTTTGGAATGTCCCCAGATTACTTAAGAATAGGGGCTGGGTGGCGTGCCTGGGTGGCTCCATGGTTTAGCCTCCGCCTTTGGCTCCTGTCATGACTAGGGGGAGGGAGGGCTTGATCCTGGGATCAAGCCCCGTGTTGGGCTACCTGCTTAGCAGGGAGCCTGGTTCTCCCTCTCCTACTCCCCCTGCTTGTGTTCCCTCTCTTGCTGTATCTGTCAAATAAATAAAGTCTTAAAAAAAAAAAAAAAAAGGAATAGGGTCTGGTCCAGAGAATCCAACCCTGTGATTAAAGGGTTGGAAATTTCAGTCCTATCCCCCTGACGTGGGAGGGGACAGGGGCTGGAGTCCCCAATGACAATGGTTTAATCAGTCATGCCTGTATAATGAAATCTTCTTAAAAACTGAAAAGTACAGCATTCAGAGAGCTCCAGAATTGGGGAACACATGGAGATTTGGGGAGAATGGTGCAATCCAAGAGGGCACAGAAGCTCCTCACCCCTTCCCATATACCTTCCCCTAAGTGTCTCTTCCATCTGGTGGTTCCTGAATTATATCCTTTTATAAAAAACCCAGTGATCAGTGATCTAGTAAGTAAAATGCTTGAGTTCTGTGAACTGCTCTAGCAAATTAATTGAACCTGAGGAGTGGTTTGTTGGAATCCCCAAGTCTATAGCTGGTGAGTCAACACAGGTGACAACCGGGCTTGTGATTGGCATGGAGGGGGGAGGGGCAGTTTCCTGGGTCTGAGCCCTCAACCTGTGGACACAGCTGCTGTCTCTGGGTAGATAGGGTGGGAATTGAGTTGCAATGTAGGGCGCCGTGCTGGTGCCCAAGAATTGCTGGGGGCTGTGTAAGGAGCTCCCCTCTTGTCCAACGTTGGAAGTGGAGTCTAAGAATCATTTTAGATGTTCGCCATAATGATTTGGTACATGTGTGTAGTGGGCAGTGATGACCACAGTAAGTTAACATCACATACTGACATACTTACAGATTTATCATTATTTTTTTTTTAAAGATTTGTTTATTTAACAGACAGAGATCACAAGTAGGCAGAGAGGCAGGCAGGGGGGGTGGGAAGCAGGCTCCCTGCCGAGCCGAGAGCCCGTCTCAGGGCTCGATCCCAGGACCCCAGGACCCCAGGATCACGACCCGAGCCAAAGGCAGAGGCCCAACCCACTGAGCTACCCAGGCGCCCCCAGATTATCATTATTTTTAAGTAAACTGTATACCCAACATGGGACTTCAACTCACCCCCCCCCCATCAAGAGTCACATGCTCTAGGGGCGCCTGGGTGGCTCAGTCAGTTAAGCGTCTGCCTTCGGCTCAGGTCATGATCCCAGGGTCCTGGGATGGAGTCCAACATCAGGCTCCTTGTGCAGCGGGGAGCCTGCTTCTCCCTCCCCTCTGCCTGCTGCTTTCCCTACTTGTGCTCTGTCAAATAAATAAATAAATCTTTAAAAAAAAAGTCACATGTTCAACTGACTGAGCCATTCAGGCACCCCTATTTTTTCTTGTGATAAGAGCGTTTAGGACTTATTCTCAGCAATATTCAGATATAAACACAGTATTGTTAACTGTAGTCACCATGCCATACATTACCTCTCCATGGCTTATGAACTTGGTATCATACCTATAAAGGAATTATTAGTAATAATTCCTTAAAATCCCATTTATATTCAAATTTCCCTGATTATCTCATTAACAATTTTTACAGTAGGTTCCCGTCAGGACCCAAAGGAGATCTACATGTAGCATTTCTTAATATTGTCTCTTCTATTCCCCCTCTCTTTTTAGGCTATTAATTTAAGAAACCTACTCTGGGACTTCCAGAATTTTCCCACATTCTGGGTTTCTTAATTGCTGTCTCGGGGTGTCATTTAGGATCTCCAGTTTTTCTTGTGAACTTGTAGTTGGAGCTGAAGGTTAGGTTCATCAGGAGTCACTTTTTACATTTCCAGGCATTTGTCCTCGTTTCCCCATGGCTCCTTGCTGTTCTTGTTCTGTTCTATGATTTTTCTGTTTCCTTTGGGATCAGTTCTGGTTTTTTTGTTTTGTTTTAACCTTAGCCCTTCCTTCCATGCTTTTGATCTTCCAGAAATGTTGAAGGGTCCTTGAGAAGGCTGGTGTTTCTGGAATGACCCCGGGTTGGAATCCTGCCTCTCACAGTCACTCAGTGCTTACTGGGTAGAGTCTGTGTGATCTGGCTGTGCCTCGGGTTTTTTATCCTAACATAGTGGTGACAACAGTATCTGCCTCGTGGGTTCATGGAGAGCATTAAAGGAGCAAAAACATATGAAGTGCTTTGAAGTCTTGACATATAGTAAATGACTGTTGGTGGCTTGGCTAAGGAGCAAAGGACAGAACCAGAGAGGAGGCTGCGAGTAGGGGAGTGGGGCGGGGCCGACGGCAGAGGCGCTCTGTGGGGGCTGTGGTGAGTGTGGATTTGATTCTCAGAGCAGTGCAGATTCATTGCAGGGGCTTAAGCAGTGGGTTCTGATCAAGAAGGAAGCCCAGGGCTGCAGGAATTCAGAACGGGTCCCTACCCCAGTCTGGGGGGCCGTGGGCATGTGCACATGTGTCTGTACACGTGTGCGCAAGTGTGCAGACACATACGTGCCAATAGCTGGAGGCCGGGCCTGGACCTGTGACCTTCTCCGCAGGCTGTGGGTGAGCGTGGAGGATGCTCAGATGCACACAGTCACCATCTGGCTCACAGTGCGTCCTGACATGACCGTGGCTTCCCTCAAGGACATGGTGAGTTGGCAGGGGGCGCGGCCACACTGAAGGGACACATCAGGGCACATGCTTCCCATTTCGCTTCCACCTCCCTTTATTCTGGTCTTCCCTTTCCACCCTCTCGCTCTCCGTATCCCCTGCCAGGTATTCCTGGACTATGGCTTTCCGCCCGTCCTGCAGCAGTGGGTGATTGGGCAGCGGCTGGCCCGGGACCAGGAGACCCTGCACTCCCATGGGGTGCGGCGGAATGGGGACACTGCCTACCTCTATCTGCTGTCAGCCTGCAACACCTCACTCAACCCTCAGGAGCTGCAGCGGGAGAGGCAATTGCGGATGCTGGAAGGTGAGGCTCGGCCTCTGAGTGGCCGGGGACTCACCTAGATCCAGGGCGAGGGAACAGAGCCCATGGCTTTTGGTCAGGAGCTCTCAAGGGGAGGACCTTATCCATAGTGGGGAAGAGAGGACAAAGGGCACCCTGGAGGGGGCCATTTCAGAGCCGTTCTGAGAGCAGCAGGAGAGGGACTGAGTTCAGTCCTGGCATTCACCAGCTGTATGACATCGGGCCAGTCCCTTCTTGTCTGTTCCTCAGTTTCTAAATCTGTACACTGGATATGATGATGATGATAACAGCGTTTATTCTAAATGTTTTGTTTATTATCTGGAAATATTTCAGACTTACAGAAAAGTTGCAACATTGTACAAAGAATTGTATAACAAACTTCCAAGTACCTTTCACCTGGATTCCCCAAAAAAGTAACATTTCACCACAATTGCTTTGCTTTGTCATTATATAAAATTATTTATGTACGTCTAAATAACTTTTTTTCTGAACTGTTTTGAAGTTGCAGACACGATGTCCCTGTCCCCTAAATATTTCCGTGTGCATGTTCTTGGGAAAAGGGTCATTTTCTTACATTACCACATACAACTACCAAACTTAGGAAATTAGCAATGATGAAATACTATTATCTAATCCACAGATGTTACCCAGATTTTACCAGTTGTCCCACAAATGTCCTTTTATAGCCAGACACCTGGCAGTGGCGTCATGTCTCTCAGGGCCTTTCAGTCTTTGGTGTCCTATGTTCCTCTGACTTTCCTGGTATTTGAAGAGTCCGGCCAGTTTTGTTTTTTTCCTGTCTCATATCCCCTCATGAATGGATGCAGATCAGTACTTGGCAGGAGCATCTCAGAAATGATTGTGCCTCTAGGTGCAATGACCTTTGGAGCACAGGAAGCCGGTTTTTAAGCCGGGGGCTCTAAGGGGCACTCACGGGTGGAGGAGGGACCCCGACCTGTGGTAGCCGGACATTCAGCCAGGTGTAGGCTCACCTGTCGAATCTGGGGGGGGGACTTCCCCCAGGGAGAAGGGAGCAGTGTGGGGGCGGGGCTCATGGCGCCTGGCTGGCTCAGAGTGTGCACGAAGTGGGCTGCTTGGAAATGCCACCCCCTAAACCCTCCTCCCTAGATCTGGGCTTCAAAGACCTCACGCTGCAGCCCCGGGGCCCCCTGGAGCCTGCCCCCGCGAAGCCCGGAGTCCCCCAGGAGCCGGGGCGGGGCCAGCCCGATGCCACGCCGGAACCCCCGCCGGTAAGCCGCCCCCGCCTCCGTGTGCGGGTGACCTAGCGCCCTGCCCCTGACTCCGCCTCCATGCTCCTGGGCCCCGCCCCCCATTCGACGCCTCGCCTTGGAACCCCCGGCCGCCCTGCGCGGTGTTCAATCCCCCCATTCCCCGACTCTGCTCCCAGGTGGGCTGGCAGTGCCCGGGCTGCACCTTCATTAACAAGCCCACGAGGCCGGGCTGCGAGATGTGCTGCCGGGCGCGGCCTGAGGCGTATCAGGTCCCCGCCTCATACCAGCCGGACGAGGAGGAAAGAGCACGCCTGGCCGGCGAGGAGGAGGCGCTGCGCCAGTACCAGCAGGTAGGCGCGGGAAGTCCCGGGACACAGGCCCGCAGACTGGGCGGGGAGGTGTAGAACGGGAAGGGAGGCCTCTCCGCAATGCCGCTCCTCCCCCGTTGCTGCCTTGCCCTCTCCTGACCCCACCGCTGGTGGAGACTCTGCACTTGACTGCGACTCACCCTCTCCTGGAGGTCTTGGGTGCTGAGACCTTGCTCCCTGGCTGTGATCACATGCCCCGCCCCCAGCTTTGACTTACACACCCACTGTGCTTACAACTCCTCTGGCTGTGACTCCAGTACCCTAGGTCCAACCATGCTTTTGTCCACCTCCTCCGTATCCGCCTGTGACCTAGCTCTTGCTCCACGCAAACGTCACCTCACCCTGGACCCTACTGTTCCTGACCCCCTCCGTCCCTGTTGTGTCACCCCGGACTTCCTATGAGCCTGGACCCAGCCTTTCACCTCTCCCTGGGAGATTGAGCCCGTCCTCTGTCCTGCCCTTCCCATAGCTCTGCCCCCGATCCTGACACAAGCCCTGATTAACAGATACCACATCCTGAGTGTTCCCCATTCTGATCGGATGCCCCCTAACCCCCACCTGCATTCCCCTTGGATCTGGAGCTATCCTTTTCCCACCCCAGCCATGACCTCATTCGTGGTCTTACCTACAGCCGTAGCCCAGATCCATCCTCTCTCCCGTCTTGCTTTGCTGCCTAGCTTTACCACCACCTCCATACCCCTGACCCACTCTGTGATCTTGGCCGGCTCCAACCCCACCCCGGCTCAGCCCTGCCCTACTTCTTGGCAGGGATATGAGCCCTGTTACCTCGGACTACCCCCTCAAACCTTAACCCTCTTCCTTTCCCTACCGCCATCACTCGCTCACGTGGTTGCAGCCCCAACCTGCCCCAGCCTGGTCCACCTCCTGTCCCTTGGCTTCCTCCCCTCCCCTCCTGGCCCCACTCTGGCCCCACCCTTCTCAGCATCTAGTCTCCTGCCGGCGACCAGGTCCCACCCCCGACCCAGGGATCCTGCTGTACCCCAGCTTTGCCCCGCCTCCGGGGTATGACCTGGTCCCCGGTCCTGCCCCCTTCCCGGTCTGCCCCTCCCCTGAGACCCTGACCGGTCCCGCGGCCCCACCCCGTGTGCCCAGCGGAAGCAGCAGCAGCAGGAGGGGAACTACCTGCAGCACGTCCAGCTGGATCAGAGGAGCCTGGTGCTGAACACCGAGCCCACCGAGTGCCCCGTGTGCTACTTGGTGCTGGCGCCCGGCGATGCCGTGGTGCTGCGTGAGTGTCTGCACGCCTTCTGCAGGTGCGGCCCCCACCCCCACCTTCCGCAGCACAGCGTTTCTCACAGCCGCCAATTCCCGGAGGGCTGAGAATGGGTGGGGCCCGTGCTCTTACATCTCATTGGATGCCCGCAAAAACCTGCGAGGTAGGCGCGGTCTCCGCATTTTGCATAGGAGGAGTGCGAGGTTCAGAGAGGTCTGCGGCTTGCTCAAGGCCACACAGCTCAGACCTTCTGGTTCCAGCATCTGCGCCCTTTGCTACTGCCTGGGCAGGCGCCTCGGAGGGCAGTGGGGCCCTGTCTCCCGCAGCCCAAGCCGAGCCCGCTCTCTGCCTGGCTGGGGGGCAGGCTGCCAGCCCCGGGCTGTAGAGATTGCACCCTTCTTCACCCCCAGCAGGCCTTGGTTGAGTGGCCGCTTGGTGCCAGAGACTGTGCCAGGCCTGGGGATCCACGGGTGAATGAAAAACTGTTCATTCTAGTGGAGAGCCTGATGGTAATCAAAAAATGACTGGTATAATTGTAAATTGTGTTGGATGCTAAGTCCTGGTGAATTATGAGAAGAAAACAAACAGAAGAACAAACCTAGGGCCTCTGCTTCGGGAAGGGAGTCAGGGAAGCCCCACGGGAGGTAGCCCTTGGACAGAGACCAGAAGGTCTGGTACAGGGATGTGCCTGGCTCATCTGTGTGGCCAGAGCAGAGGGATGGACAGAGGGGTGTTAGGATGCACCCCTGGGGTTCTTGTGAGCTGTAGTGAGGGGTGCGGGTTGTTCTGGGCAGGTCGGGACGGGAGGCTGCTGGGGACAATGCGGCCACTGTTGAGAGTGGATTGTAGGGGCGACGAGGACTCAGGGATTCCAGTGAAGTTGCACCCGCAGTCCCCCAGGCAAGGGGTGATGGGGGCCTGGGCCAGAGTAGTGGGGGTAGACAGAGGTGGAGGCCTTGCTGGTGGATTTGTGGGCGGGATAGGAAGGGAGAGAAGTACTGAAGCAAAGCCTACCTGGGGTCAGGCCTTGCCACGTGAGGGGTATAGTCTGGGTTGATGGGGTTCAGAGGACGCTAACCTCCACCCATCACCCCTCTCCCCCTTTAGGGAGTGTCTGCAGGGCACCATCCGCAACAGCCAGGAGGCGGAGGTCTCCTGCCCCTTCATTGACAACACATACTCGTGCTCGGGCAAGCTGCTGGAGCGGGAGATCCGGGCGGTAAGGCCTGGGGGCTGGTGGGGGGGGAGGGGCATGCCTGGAGCTGGCAGGTCTCAGGCTGCACACATATATCCAGAGCCTTCTGGGTGGGATGCTGGGGGCCAAGCAGTGAAGAAGATGGGACTTGGGGGGAAGTAGCTGCTTAAGAAACCGCTGTTGTGAAGGAAAGACAGCACAGGTGTTAAGAGTGGGGAAACCTGGGGCCATTGGTCGCGGTGACCTCAAGTCAGATACTCAACCTGTGCCTTGCTTTTCTCATCTCAGGGTCAAAGTTAGTTTCTTCAAAGGTTGTCTAAGGTTGTGTGTAAAGACTCTAGAGTAGTGCTTAGCACATGGTGAGTGAGCCCTTGTATCAGCTTGCGTCTGCTGCGTAACAAGTTATTCCAGACGCTGTGTCTTCAGCCACTGTTTATTTAGTTCATGCATTTGCAAATTTGTCATTGGGGTTGGATGGGTTTAGCCAGATGATTCTTGTAGCGCCTGATTCTTCTAGCTTCTGCTGGCCCTGGCCAGTCTCGGGTGGGTTTAGCTGGTGGGTCCACTGTCCTGGACTGGTTCATGATGGCCTTACCAGCAGTGGGAGGGGAAGGGCAGCTGGGTGTCTTTCCACTTTGCTCTCTCCACCCAGCAAGCTGGCCCGGCCTGCCCACTGGCTGGTGGTCCCCAGGTTCCGAGAGCAGCCAGCAGGGGGCTCCAGTGCAAGAGTGCTTGCCCTCTTCTCTCACTTGCTGCCCTCCCAGTGAGCATGCTTAAGCCCAGAGTCCCTGCAAGAGGGAACCACCCAAGGGTGTGGAGTCACGGAGACACAGTAAATCGGGGCCATCGCTCCAGCAGTCCATTCCAGTGCTGTAGGCATCTGGGTGCACAGTCGCCTTTACTGTTACCAGTGGCATTACCAAGTTCTCACCCTCTGGGAGTCTCCATATCCCCCCTTGGAAAATTGACTGTTGGGCTTGATTCATGGTTTTTAAACTGCTGGGAAAGGGGCCTTCTCAGAATTGGGCATCTTGGGATTACCAGGCCAGAACATGAGGCAGGGTCAGAGGTGGCTGAGGTCCACATGGGAGACCCCTCCAGGCACATCCCCAAGACCTCTGTTCCTTCTGCCTCTCCCTCCTGAGAGCCTCCTTGGCTGCACCTAGTATTTCCTGGAGTCCAAGGGGTCTGCCTCAGCTGAAAAAGGGGAGGCAGAAAGGGTAGAGCTTGGGGAACTTACCCCTACAGCAAGAACAGCCCCTTTTATCTGTTGTCTGTGGGGCATCAGGGAAGGGCGGCTCCAGGGGGCTGCTGAGGCCTTCTCACTGCAGCCTGGAAAGCTCCCAGACATGGAGCCAGTCATTCCATATGTTCTGACACCCATGTGGTTACCCAGAGGTTTGTCCTTGAGGTCCATCCCTGCCAAGGGCATTGTGATGGGACCAGAGTTCCTGCCGAGGGGTGCAGGGCCCATGCTTCCCCAGAGCCCCTGGGGATTAACCCAAGACAGAGAAGGTCAGGTGTGGCAGAGGGAGAAAGGGGCATGGATCAGCAGAGTGATGCAGTTATCTTTACAAAACACATGCCTAAACCACCTAGAAATGGAACAGAAATCAAAGAGAAAAGTCACCGCCACCCTGCCATCCCAGGGAGTCCCCGACTGCATTTTCTGGTTTCCCATGTCCCAGACATGACTTTATTCTTTTTTAAATTAAGTTTACTAAGGGAAACTTGGCGTGCAATAAAATGAACGCATTGCATGCAGTTGGGTAAGTTTTGACAAGTGTTTAACTCTTGTAAACACTGCTCAATTGAGATGTAGAAAGTAGGCATGGTTTTTCCTTTGCTGTTACCAGCAGAGATAAAACAGCTTTTGCTCTTTTGTGGTAGAGTGTTTCTAAGGACTCAGAAATCTTATGGCATCGGTCCTGCTTACACCTCTTCTCATAATAATTCTTGTTTCTCAGTTTGGAACGAATGCTTCAGGGGACATTTGCGTGGTGTCTCTTCTTCTATGTTGTATGTAACAACATCTTCCCCAGCATTGCCAGTTACTTTCTTGATTATTTTTCCTTTTTTTTTTTTTTTTTCAAATTGTAGAATATACACAACAAAATTTACCTTTTTTTTTCATGTATACTCTCTGTAAGTGCACAGCTCTGTGCCATTATGTACTCTAACAGAGTTGCGCAGCCATCACCATCATCCATCTCTAGAACTTTCAACCCACTTTCTGAATGGAGTTTTTAAACACTGAGGGTGATGCAAAGTAAAGAGCCGGGGCCAGGTTGGACTTCATGGGTTGGGGGCTTTCTGGAGGATATTTGGGAGCAAGGAGGGCCCTCACGGGCTGTTCTGAACCCCAAGCAAACCAGGTTGTGGGTTGTGGCCTTTTGGCAGCTGCTGCCCCCTGAGGATTACCAGCGGTTTCTGGACCTGGGTGTCTCCATCGCGGAAAACCGCAGTGCCTTCAGCTACCACTGCAAGACCCCGGACTGCAAGGGATGGTGCTTCTTTGAGGATGACGTCAACGAGTTTACGTGCCCGGTGTGCTTCCACGTCAACTGCCTGCTCTGTAAGGTGGGGACAGGGACCCGTGCTGTCTATCCCCCGGTCCTGCCAGGAGCTCACTGCAGCTCAGTGCTTGTTCTCCTGGGAAGGGAGCTGGGGCACTACTAGCCTGTCAGGACAGATGCCCACACGTCTGGGACGGGGCCTGGCCTGGGCCCCAAACTGAGCCTAGGGTTTGGTCCAAGCCTTGGCCCTTGGTGGAACCTCAGCCTAGACTGACCCCTGACCTTGGCCTCTAACCAGACCCTGTTCCCAGTCACAGACTGACCCCAGCCCTGGCCCCTGACGGAGTCTTGCCAGACCCTGACCTCAGGCTGCTCCCTCCCCTCATCGTCTCACTTCTTGACTACTGAAGAGACTGGTCTCCAGCTAGGAGACAGATCTGAGCCTGGTCACGGCCTAAACAAGCTCGGTCTCGGAGCATCGGGCCTGCCATCACGCAGAGTCTAGCTGGGGCTGCAGCTGTGGGGAAGGGGGCGTAGGGATTTCTCTGGCCTCAGGACTTAGCGTACATGGGTATTATCATCATCCTATGGGACGACCCTGGCCTCCCCTCCCTGACCCCCTTGTCACCTTCCATAGAATGGGTAGCTGGTGTATAAAGCAAGGCCCTGTCCCTGACGTCATGTAGAGGCAGTTAGTGCCCCTCAGGTCTCTCAGCTTCATAACCCCTTAAGGAACCTTGTCACCTCGAGCCCCTCACTCTGCCGCAGGCCATCCACGAGCAGATGAACTGCAAGGAGTACCAGGATGACCTGGCCCTGCGAGCTCAGAACGATGTGGCCGCCAGGCAGACGACAGAGATGCTCAGGGTGAGGCAGGGTTGGGGCTGAGGGCCTGGAGACTGGAGTTCCGGGAGGTCTCGGCGGGTGGGGGGCTTCTCAGCGCTGTCAGCCGGTCCCGGTGTCATCGCCATCCGGAAGTGGGACCTGGTTAGGACAAGTGGGCAGGTGGCGAGCAGCAGGACGGGTGTCTGCAGAGACAAGGCCTAGGTGGAGTGGTGGAGCAGAGTGAGCCCCTGACTCCTGAGGGGACAGCCGGCTTCCCTGTGTGGGGGGCCAGGGGCTGAACCCCCATTCCGCCCCAGTCCATGCTGCAGCAGGGCGAGGCCATGCACTGCCCGCAGTGCCGGATTGTGGTGCAGAAGAAGGACGGCTGTGACTGGATGCGGTGCACTGTCTGCCACACGGAAATCTGCTGGGTCACCAAAGGCCCGCGCTGGGGCCCTGGGGTGAGTGCTCTGGAGATCAGGGGCTTGGGAGTGCTGTGGGGCGGTGTCCTGGGGGTCCTGCCCGAGAACAGGGCACAGCCCCTGGGCCAGGTCTGACCACTGCCTGTATTCATGCAGCTGGTAAAGTAAGAATGTTCTTTACATTTTTTAAATGTTTGAAAAGTACCAAGAAAAGAAGACTGTCTTGTGAGCTGTGAAAGTGACATGAAATCCAAGTGTCTGTCCGTACGTAGCATGTTCCGGGAGCACTGCCCTATACATCCCCTGTGGCCCGTGTGCGGCTGCGTTCGCGCCACAGGTGGGGACTGTATGGACCCAGCAACCTGAAGGACCCGGCCCCCACCCCACCAAGGGCGGCGAGGCGGCTTCAGTCTGGGGGTGTACGGCAGCAGAGGCAGAGTGGCCCCCAGCACCAGCGCGCCCTGGCCTTGTGGTTAGGCCGTTCATCTGGAACCCAGAGATGCCGGCAGGGATGGGGCTGGGGCCTCTCGCCCGCTCTCCCAAGTCAGCTGGAAACGCGCATGGGGTGCTCCGTGGCAGCCTGTGGGTGAGCGTGGAGGCAGCTGCCTTTATCAGGAATGTGGTCGTGGAGACGGGCTCAGCATTGTGTACTGCCGGACGCCAGGAGAGACGGAGGCAGAGGGAGCTGCCCTCTCTCCAGGGCCCGGGCATGAGCCCACCCAGGATAGGCAAGGGTGATCCATCACATCCTTTGGCTGCTCTGGGTCCAGGGGAGCATAGACTGAGACCACGTACTTAGGGGTGCCATGGGAGCCCAGAAAGGTCTTACTGCCTCCACCAAGTAGCTGAGGCCGAGAGAGCCGTTGGTAGCAGGAGGACCTGCCTGAGCAAAGGCCTGGAGTGGGAACGTACAGCGCTTGGGGGTGTGATGGAGCAGCCCGGCGGAGGGCCCTTTCTTAACCGCCATGACCTTCTCTCCTCCCCATCCTCTAGGGCCCAGGAGACACCAGCGGGGGCTGCCGTTGCCGGGTGAACGGGATTCCTTGCCACCCCAGCTGTCAGAACTGCCACTAGCTGAGGATGGCCAGGTCCCCACGCTGGCCCAGCCCCACATCCCCATGCTGCTGTGGGACAGGGCTACTGCTTTGGCTCTGATTTCTGGCCTGGGAGATGCCTTTGTGCTTGGCTGAGACGGGCCTTGTAGAGACCACAGCCCCTGAGCCCTGTGGATGGCTCGTCTGCAAGGGGTATTACAGGGGGCCCTGCCTAAGCTCGGTGTTGTCTGTGGCTCCCTCTGCCCCAGGGCCTCTGCCCTTCCTCTGGGGCTGGCTGGCCAGACCTCTCCACTCTTCTCTGCATCTCTTCCCTCTGCCTGACACAGACGTAAACACAGCCCTGCCGATGAAGCCTCTGAGAAACCCATGTGAGCCCACACTCTGCCCTTCCCCGCCCTCATCTGCTGAATGCTGAGCACCCAGAGCCCACCACTTCCTTGTCGGCTCTCTGGGGCTGACTTCCCTGTCTTTGCTGTCGGAGGTTTGGGGCCTCACAGCTGCTGCTAAGCCCGTTCGGAGACAGGGGGAGACCTGGTGCTGTCTGAAGCACGGTCCGTCAGACTTAGCTTCTGGGTCTCCCCCTTTGCTGCCTGTGTGAACTAATTAAAATGGCTTTCCAGAAAGGGATGAGTGTGATGTCGTGAGAGGGCATGAAAGCGTCACGGCCGGTCCCCTGCACGTGGGCAGGACAGTGAGTTCTGTGGGCACCAGGGCAGGGTCGGGGAGCCCCTGGCCATGGTGGAGCAGGGTGTGACCTGCATGGGGATCCTTGCTCTGGTTGGGGCACCCTTGTGCCCACTGGAGGGGCTGCATGCTCTTGAGTCAGCAACCCCCTGGACGGGCAATTTGCAGTATGTCCCGGGACAAGGAAGTGGGCTCTGCTGATGGGCCCCTGGGCGGAGTGGGGCAAGGCAGTGACCAGATGGCAGGCCAGCCTTGCTGCAGACTTGGGGCCCCTGAGTGGATGTCCAGGGTTGGACAGTGATCTTTCAGGAACACATGAAGCTGCTACAGTTGAGGGGCGGGGTGGGGGGGCTGGCCATCCTCGTTTAATACCTCAGGCAAGATGGCGCAGTGTTGGGGCAGCAGCATTTACCCGTCATCACTCCGCTGGTCAGAGATGAAGAAAGCATGGTGGTGGGTGTCCATTCTGGAAGTTCTGCTGCCTTTTCTCACCAACCCCTTTTCCCCGTTGAGATCTGGTATTTGATGGCAAACACGTATCTGAACTTCGATGTGGGTCACCATCACGACAGGCAGAGGGCGTCTCTGCCTCTCAAGGCCTGCCTGGCTGGATTCAGGCTCCAGAAGTTGGGTTATGTGGCTTTGGCGATAGGGCAGGGGTCATTCCGGTCCCTGGATAGGCACTGCCACCCCATCCCTGAAACACAAGACTCAAGAGTTGACCCCAGAGGCATCTGGGTGGCTCAGTTGGTTAAGCAACTGCCTTCGGCTCAGGTCATGATCTCAGGGTCCTGGGATCGAGCCCCGCATCGGGCTCTCTGCTCAGCAGGGAGCCTGCTTCTTTCTCTCCCTCTGCCTGTCACTCCCCTGCCTGTGTGCGCTCTCTCTGTCAAATAAATAAAATCTTTAAAAAAGAAAAAAAAAAGAAGACTTGACACGACGCTGGGAAAGGAGATGTCTGAGAACATGAGTGCCTTGTGTTCTGCCGGCCTCCCTGTCCTGGGAGGAAGAAAGGGTCAGACAGAGCCCCTGCCTGGGAGGAAACAGAACATGCTAAGGGGAGCCTGGCTGCAGGAGAGTGAGATGGGCCCCGGGGGGGTGGGAGGTGTTCTGTCCCCAGCACCTCCCCCATCCTGCCGAGGGCTGGCCCTTGGGGGCCCGGGCACCAGATCTAAGCAGAGACCATTCTCTTAATGCAGAGGGGATGAACTGATGAGCCACAGGCTGTAACCAGTCTACCCAGTATTTTAGAAATTTGAATTGGTTGTCAATGATTTTAAATTAAGAGATACTAGGGCGCCTGGGTGGCTCAGTGGGTTAAGCC